AAACTAAAAAATAAAGACTACCTCCCAGAATACGTCAATGCCTCCAGCAAATATTTAACAAAGGAATGGAACAAATGAGACTATCTTTTTGGTTCTTATATTAAGTTATCTATAACATTATGACTATAAAAGCACTGTTTAACTTTAAAAAAGAGAAAAGCTCCTATACAGGCTCACCTATTTTGAACTCAGTTCTCTAACTATTGCTGATCCTGACCTCACAGAATAACCAATATAGGTAAAACAGAGAATGAGTAGAAGACTCAATTCAACTTCTGAGGAAGACAAAATCAAGTAAGAATTACTGATAATAAAGGCTTACAGTAATGACAATTTGAGGAAGAAATATAGGAAGCATAGCAACATACTACATTTCCTAAAACAAGGGGATTGTGATACAAAATCTTCATTAAGTATGCAGCTAAATTAATAATATCAAGGTGTCTAAGAAAACAAAATGCATTTTCAATTCTAAAGGAGAAGACAACTTTATTACTGGGGGAAAGGAAAAAGGAAGAAAGCTAAGCAACTGCCTCATTCTTCAACAGGTAAGCATGAGGTCTTAAGAAAATGTTAAAAACAAAAACACAAAAAATAATGATGCAGTCTGCTCCTTTCCTCTCCTCCCCACCACTCACAGAACATAGGTTAACAATTGTTACAACAGCTTCCTATTCATCCTTATCAAGAAAGCAAAGGACAGAGAATTGAGAAAAGTCAAACTTCTCTGGCATGTTAGCCAAATATAATTTTTCTGGCCTATTATCCAAACAAGATTAAATCAAGTTTGCTCTTAGGTTTACTATATTCAAAGATCTGAGCATCCAGCACCAACATTCCTTTCTTATCTGTTTACTGATAAATGATTCCTTTAACAGTCAGCATGTGGAAGTGACTGATATCAGACAGTTTTCTAAATAAAAGGAGTGGAAGCCTGAAGCAGTGAAGGAGAGAGAAAGAGAACACAAAGAGACAACCAGAAATGCTAAAGACAAACAGCTCTTTTATGCTTAACAGCTATGTTCTTTCCACCTTCAAAAATACCTAGACAAAGTATGAACAGCAAAACCACAACTACACAAGCACACAGTATGCTAACGGGACTACCCCCTTTTAGGAATATGAGGTAATCCAACCTGGTTTCACATGGCTCATAAAGATGTGTTTTAATACACTGGACCACAAGATAAAGAAGATCCCATCCCAGAATACTGCCTAGTCAATGATTATAATTACACAACTTAACTAAGACTGGTGATAAGAGATCTTGAAAACAATGTAATTTTAATTGTAATGCAACTGCAAGAAGCTCCTTCTACAGAAACGCAGCAGAAGAATAGTTAATAAATATCACACTCTGGTAGAACACATTTTAAAAAATAAATGTATTTATTATATCATATAGTCATATTATCCCATATTATACCATATGGTCATGGAAAGAAACATTGGGGAAATATAAATGATCAGAAGTAAAGGTGTAATGCCCAAAGTGTAAGCACATTCATTTCATAAATATCTAATAAGCTCCTATTATTTACCAGAATATTCTATTTTGACATCTACAAAGTAATACAATACAGGACATGAAATCTGTTCACTTCCCAAAACAATTTAAAAACTAAAATCTACATTCTATGTTCAAAATGTTTGATAACAAGCAGTTAAAAAAACTCTAATATCCAAGAAAAATGATTAGTTTTAAAAAATCACAGTATTACCTAATGAAATGTAAAATATTTTGCTATATTAAGTTTAAAAATATTATAAAACCACATATACTGTATTGTACAAACATTAAAAAAGTTTTGGATACATACCAAAATGTTTAAACTAATTATATCCTAGTGGCAAGATTACAGATTTTTTTCTTTCTTTTTTTTTTTTTTGTACTTATAGCTTTCTAATTTTTCAACAATGAATGTGCTTTCCCTCTATAGAGAGAAATTTTAATGCAGCTGAAATTTCCTTCTGAGAAACTTTAAAAACAAAACCAAAAAACTATTTTACTGTCAGGCAAGGGAATTCTTTAGTATAAAATGTGTCATTTTACACAAGCATAACTTCATTTGTTTCCATGCACTTGGCAATTATATCTCTTCAAGTACACATAAGGAAGATAGTTAAATTAAAAGACCACAGTACATATCAGTTTGTACTGGATTAACAATACAACTTCAAATTTTAAATGATTTCTTGGAGGAATTTCTTCTGCCATCCATAACACTGATGTCTATATTCAAAAAAGATCCACTTTTAATCATTTACTCCCCTCCTCCCCGATGCGAATACCTTTATTATCAGCTCCTATAAGAAATTATAGAGGGAAAACTATTCATCACTAAATATTAAAACCTTAGAGGAGGAGGCAGTACAAAATACTTCTAATTGAATTTAGTTAGGAGTATCCTTTGTAGTTTCAGGAGATACCAATATGCTTTCCAATGATTGGCAAATTTAAACTTAAATTCATTAGTGTAGTGGTTCTCAAGCATTGATACATGAGAACTGCCCAGGAAGTGTGCCAAAATACTGAAACTTACGGCGCTCTCACCTACTGAATCAGAATCTTGAGTATAGAACTCAAAAACAATCTGGCCCTTTCAAATAAGATAGCAGCGACTGTACTTAACAAAAGACTTCTCTACATCATTGCAAACTGTTCTACTAAGTCTTAAAGTTCTCAATGTAAACAATGTTATAATCAGAGAATTACAATTTCATGACCCATACCCATTAATTTCTCCATTCTTCTACTCTGTAATAGTCTTCAAAGTTACAATTCAACAAAACCACACATACACTACAGAGTAAAGCGAGCCCAGAGGCACCTGTGCCTGGTAAGACAAAGGCATATCCGATTCATGGAAAAAATAGACAGCAGATGTGACCCCTAGTATTTAGCTATTAAAAACAATGTATCCTAAAAATAAATTTCCATGTCAACGGAACAAAGCTGTTTATAAATAAGAAGGAATGTGGAGGTGTGGGGAAGACAAGAGGAAGCTTCAGCAAGTCAAGAACCAAAAGCCAGGAAACAAGGCCAAATGAATGGTAACGGGCGACTAGGAAATCAGAATAAACTAGGAAATGGAAGAAGGGAAGAGCTCTATCCTTAGAATCCCAGAAGTTGGGGAAAATGAACAGATGTTAGAGGAAACTGATCCAAGCAAAAATGCAAACTAAAAATTAAGTGGAAAGTCGTGCAATTACGGAAGAAAAAAATGAAACAAGATGGGATCAGGAGGGAGACAAACCATAAGAGACTCTTAATCCCAGGAAACAAACTGAGAGTTCCCTGGGGGTCGGGGGGGGGGGGGGGGGTATGGATAGGGTGGCTGGATTATGGACATTGGGGAGGGTGAGTGCTGTGAAATGTGTAAGCCTGATGATTCACAGACCTGTACCCCTGGGGCAAATACATTATATGTTAATTTTTTAAAAAGAAAGAAAGAAGATATGAAAACTTTAGATCAAATGATGATATAGAACACATGATGTGCATAGATGGAGGTGGTATAAGAGGCTGAAAAATTATTATTGTGAACAAACTAGAGCAAGCATATAGGATAATTTCCAAAGTAAAGATGATGAAGCAGGAAAAGAAGCATTGCACAGACAAGAATGAGGCGTTGAGAATTGGGAAACCAAATGTAAGCAGTAGGAAGGAAAGAGAACTTTGAGCAAAGTCAACGGAATAACTCACGTTATCTAATCAATTACAAAGCACAGTTATTATACTAAATATTATCTCGTAATTTGCAAAGTATAATAAAGTTGTTATTTTATACAGTACAATGCCAAATACTAAATGGAATAAATTTTCCCTAAAAACCGGACGTAAGTAATTTGACAAAGTGGTAAGAGGCTGAATATTGCAAAAAACAGGCCGAGAGAAGAAGCCAAAGCGGGAAAAGTGAAAGGTAAAAACTGGGACAAAAAGGAGGACAACAGAAAGAAATCAATCAAATCTATTTAAAAATGGGTAGGAAAAAATAAAGAGGTGTGAATACACAATGTAAGACTAACCAGAAAGTGCCTGTAATGCAAAAGAAACCTGACGGAATCCTGACAGCTTTAGGATTCAGAAAGTAAGGAAGGAGCTCCAAAGCGTCCAGACGGACTTGTAAAGATAATAGATAACAATGTTAGGAAGCAGTAGAATGATCCAGAGGGCCTGAAGAGAACTAGGGTAAGAGAAGTGCAAAAATGGCTTTAAGTAGAAACTAAGGCTAGAAGGCTGGCAGGTCCGACAACCGGCAAGAGAGCGGAGCAGCAGATGGGAATGGGTTAGGGGGAGGGTTACCACTCAGCGACAGAGCACAGAACTGGGGGCCTGACACCGGGATAAAGAAGGAGAACGGAAACAGTGGGATTTAAGGCTGAAAAAGTAAAGATTAAATCAAAATCATCCGCTGGGTAAAACAGGTGAAGAGACATCCCCTTAACAAGTGGAAAAGTGGAGGGGAGGGCAGCGGCCTGAAAAGGGGACATCAGGGAGAGAGGAGGGGTATGATGCGCCCCATCACTCCCGTGACCATGTAATAATTACAACAGCAACTCAAGCTGGGGTCCCGGCCCCGGCTACTAACCTGTATCTTTGCACCTGGATGCCACCACCCTTTCCTACCCCCCACCCCCAAAATAATGAAAACATCGAAGAGGCGAGAGCCTGGCTACCTTCAGCCAGCCGTGACCTTCTCGGACCAACCCTGAGTCTCGCCCCCTACTGATAGCCTCCTGCTCAACCAATGCTGCCCGAATCCCCCAAGCTGGGGTGCGAGTCAGGGAAACCCCCCTGGGCCACTGTGTGTGTTTACGTAGCGAGGAGCTGCATGACGGAGAGGGGCAAGGCGGGGATGCCCATCTCCCACCCCGCAGAACCCAAAGAAGGAGGTGGCTGAGGGCACCAGAACCCCCATCGCCACCTCGTTCCCCCCAAAAAACACCAGCCAGCCGAGCCCAGAGCTCGGAGGTGTGTAGGGTGCGCCGGCACTCACCTCCTCGGGAATGGCAGGGTCCGCAGCCGAAGAGGCCGCGGCGCCGGCGCCGGCCTCGGGCTCCATATCCCCGTTGAACAGAGCCTGGCCCTGCTCCGCGCCGCTGCCGCCGCCGCCGCCGCTCAGCGCCGCCATCTTATAACCGAGAGCCCGGGCCGGAGCGACCGCTGCTGGGCGGGGAGGGGGAAGGGAGGCGGAGGGCGGAGGGGCGGGGGGAGGCGGAGGCGGAGGGCGGGGGGCGGTGGGGAGGGACGGCCGGGGCGGCGCCGGCGGCGGGAGGGCTCCTGGGCCACCTCAGGAACCGGCCCGCGGCCCCCGGCTCAGCGGAGCCTGAGGGGATTGGGGGAAGGACGCTAGGCGGGGGGCGGGGGAAGGGGGCGGAGACGACTAGAAGTCGCCGCGGCAACGGCGTCACCCCCGTGTCACGGCCGTGACGTCACCCGGGGTGCGTGACGTAATCGTAGGAGCGCCCTCGCGCCGTCGTCAGGGGAGGGTTCCTTCCCCTCCTGCCCACCGTCGCGCGCGCACGTTTCCTCGGCTCCGCGGTTTCCATGGCTCCGATTTCCTACTTCATTCTCTTCTCGGTCTTAAACCTGTTCTGTAATGTGGGATTTACTAGAAGAGCATGGGTGGTGTTGGAGGAGAAGTTAAAATCCTAGAGGGAGGAAGACGGGAAAGCCCATGCTACTTGTGTTTTTTCTATTACAGCGAATGTGTCATAAAAATAAGATTTGAAACCCCAAGGTGGAAACATTCAAGGAGAATTTGATAGAAATGTATTTAAGAGCAGCTAAATCATCAGAATGATTTTTGTATCCGTTTCATTAAAGGATCTGGCCTGTTAAAGAGGGTCTAAATGGAAGTCTAAAAGCTTATCCCCATCGTTGAGAAATAAAACGTTTTCTTTAAGTGTGTTTTTCATCTTGCAGTCATTCTGGAAATGGAAAACTTTCCATATGCTGGTGCCTACACAAGGCACGGCATTCTAGACATCTGAAGCATCAAAACTTTAATGATTTTTATTTTCAAGATAATTATTCAAAACATTTTTAAATACTAGGTGCCTTGCATGAACAGAATATTCCAAGGTGTTAGCTGTGCAAAATATGCATGAAAACAAGAGGGGAGTTCAATTCCCTTTGTCAGGCCCAATTACAGAACGAAATTAAGGAAACCCAATTCATTATTAAAAATACTTTTATCTTAAAGGAAAAGGGAATATTCAGGGAAAAAAGGAATGGAGAATAGAGGAAAGGAATATAATGGAAGTTACTGTGGGCTCCTGATGGTGTACAGTTTTAATCACCAAAGTAACGGGTAGACATCAAGTCATGAGAAGCTTTGAGTGAACTACATTTTTTACTTCCCATGTGGAGGGAAGTCACCAATGACCTTACAGTATTCACCATGATTAAAGAGATCAAAAGCTGTCCTACTGACTCCTGAAGCTGAATGTCTGCATATTGATAGAGTCACTGTGAATCCAGGTACTCTAGAGGTAAGGCATTGTGTGTGAGGCTGCTTGATTAATCAGAATATTAATATTTCTCTACAATGAAAATTGGAAAGTAGAGACTATCAAGCGGGCATGATAGATTTGTTAGCATTGTTGTACTTTTTCTTCCAAGTAGAAAAGTCTCCTTGAAGAACTAAATATAAATCAAAAAGAGGTTTGGCCATAAGAGACCCTTAATCTCACAAAACAAACTGAGGGTTCCTGGGGGAGGGGGTAGGGAGAGGGGGGTTGGGTTATGGACTTTGGGGAAGGTATGTGCTATGGTGAGTGCTGTGAAGTGTGTAAACCTGGCGATTCACAGAACTGTACCCCTGGGGCTAATAATACATTATATGTTAATTAAAAAAAATTTTTTAAAGAGGTATGGCAAAAGTAGAGTAAATTAAAATTATCATAAGGGTTAATGTCATCAAGCTACACTAGTCTGAAGCACTCTTCTTTACTGTAAGGACATACTTCTAAAGTGACCAAAATAGCACCATTAGCCAGTCATGGCACCTTTTACCCTTGATTTTATCAAAAACAACTTGCAGCACTTTCATTTCAACAGTCCTATTTCATTTTTTTTTAAATCAGACACTAAAAAATTATGTCATTATGACACTTCCTCATAACATTCAAAGTTCTAAGATTTGTTTTCATTGGTTCCATTTTAAATTATAACCTTATCAGCAACAATCTGTAGCTCATATCCTACATAGTTATTTCTCCATAGGATGACTGATCTCATCCATTTAATAGTGATTCTTCTTAGCTTCTATTCACTCAATATTTTCTGACCTTTTCTTTAAATTCTGGATATATCTTATTTGATTTCCCTAGGCTATTCTAAAGCCCCTACAGGATCTGGATGGGAAAATATGGAAAAGGCATAAACTTTGGAATACAAAGATCAGTATCAACATGCCACATCTTGGCTGTATAATCTGAAAGAAGGTAAGTTCGAATCTCTGTTTGTTGTTGTTGTCTTAATCTATAAAAAGAAGGTGGTAATAATGCCAGCCCAACCTGCCTAACTGTATCATTGCAAAGATCAAACATAGATTTTCCTTTAACAAAATATGAATACCTTCTCAGTCAGAATTCAGACAAGGCATAGCAGAAATGGCTTGTCTCTGCTCCATGATGTCTAGGATCCTCAGCTGGGAAGGCTCAGTGCTTGGGGGTGTCTCAATGGATGGAGACTGGAATAATCTGGGAGCATATTTCCTCATATGCCCGGTGATTGAAGCTGGTACCTCAGCTGGGGCAGTCAGCCACAATATCCAAGCATTCTTTCCTCACGTGGCTTGAGCTTCCTTATAGCATGATTGCTTCAAAATAGACTTCTTACGAGTCAGGTAAGGGCTCCGAACACTAGTGTTCCTCTAAGCAAGGTGAAAGCTGTATTGCATTTTATGACCTAGCCTCCAGAATCACACAGTATCACTTCTGTTGCATTTTATTTATTTATTTATTTATTTATTTTATTTATTTATTTTTATCTTATTTTGTTTATTTTGGATATAGTAAGTCATTAAGTCTAGCCCAAATTCAAGGCAAAGGCGTAGAGATCCTATACGGAAGAAGTGTCAAAGAATTTACAGTTGTGTTTAATTTACAGACACGTTGTGTTTAGAATAAAGAACTAGCTATTCTAGAAATAGTTACTTATCCTCACCTTCTCCAGAGGGTATTCTATACTCCAATTCTCCTCCTTTTTATTATTGGGAATCAATAAGACCCATCTCAGTATAATAATGAAGAAGCCTTTACCTTCTTTCGTTAGCTTCTTACCACTGCATGCAAAAATAAATGCAGGTCCTTGACCATAGAATACAGCCAGTCTTCTCTTGGGTACTTCATGCCCCTGCAAATCCCAGTGCTTCCACAGGCAGGATGCTGTGCTGAAACTTTCTACCCAAAAGTATGGTACTGTGTTCTTGGAGCGTGTAATGGGCTAAGCCAGTTTGTGATCTGCACAGAAACAGAAAAAACACCTCCTCCTTGTGCTATGGTGTATCATATGGGCATCAAATCAGTATTATCTTGCATTCTAAAGTTTTATAGTTTATTTTTTAATACATCTATTTTTTAAAAGATTTTACTTATTTATTGTCAGAGAAAGAGCACAAGCAGGGGGAGCAGCAGGCAGAAGGAGAAGTGGGTTCCCTGCTGAGCAAGGAGCCTGATGCAGTACTCCCAGGACCCTGGGATCACGATCTGAGCCAAAAAGCAGATGCTTAACTGACTGAGCCACCCAGCTATCCCATATGGACAGTTTAATCAATGCAGTTCTTTTAGGTTTTGTTCACAGTCCCCTTATGCCCTTAGGCATTCCTGTATTCACAGGAAGCTAAAATACACATCTACGTGAGGGGCATTCCTCAGACCTTTGCTCCAATTAATGTCTGGGACACCCAAGAAGTCTTGCTCCTATGTCTGACCCTCTTCCAGTTTATTTCTGACTTGTATTTCTATCTTGAATCTTGCGTTCTAATAGGTACTGGATAGTCCCACTCTGGACCTGCCCAGTCAGGTCTGATCCACATTAATGTGGTCAACTCCTAGAAAACAAGCAAGCAGCTTCTAGGAAGCTTCTACAGCTCCAACCACATTCAGTGATATGTAGCTGATTACAATTTAATGTTTTCTTTATGAATCAAGGTCATCATGGTGAATTACACATCTTGTATTAATAGAAGGCTATTCTCAGAAGCTATTTAGGTATGAATAGAAAATAGAGTCATAGAGTTGATGCAGGGCAGCCTTCCTGCAGAGAGATACTTGGAATCTTCTCAGTGGAATTTCAAACTCTATCCAAATGTGATGGGGACCTCACTAAAATAGTACATTAAATGGTAACTTTTTTTCTTGACATTGAATTGAAACCCTCCTCTTTATGATATCTATATTCTGGTCTGTTTTGCCTTTAGAGGAACACAGGACAAGTCTATTTCTTATTCTGTGTAACTGCTTTCAAATATTTGAAGGGAGTTCTGTTTCCTTTAGTTCTTCCTCAAAGCATTTTCTCATCTTCCTGTGTACTATTCAATTTTCCTCTTAAAACGTCGTCCCAGAGCACCTCTGTGGCTCAGTCAGTTAAGCGTCCACCTTCAGCTCAGGTCATTATCTCAGAGTACAGGGATCAAGCCCTGCATCTGGATCCCCGCTCAGCAGAGGCTCTGTCCCTCATCCCTCTGCTGCTCTCCCTGCTTGTGTTCTCTCACTCTCTGTCAGAAAAATAAATAAAATCTTTTAAAAAACAAACAAACAAAAAGACATGGTCCTTTGCATTGAACACCATTTCAGATTTGCTTCAACTGACAAAGAATAGAATCTCTGATTGCAATAACCTAGGTCCCATGCTTTTGTTAATAAAATAAAAAATCATACCAATACCATACCAATTGGTACCAAAAGGTACCAATAATGGTACCTATGAAGTTGGAGTTAACAAAAAAAGCTTTGTGTTTGTTTTTTTTTTAATAAAATGCTATTGCATCAAGTCTAGGTTTTCTCTCATCCCCTGTTGTCATGTCATGAATTAGGCACTGTTGTCATCCCCTCTACTGAACTCACATTCCTCAGGATTTTTTAATTCTTGAGGGAAGACTTTCCTTTTAGATTCATGAATGGTATTAGATATT